AAGACAGAGGGCGTAGTTTAAGGTAAGTGGCTTGGAGCAGATCTACAGAAGTTTTTTTCAGCCAGAGGGTGGTAGATATATGGAACGTGCTGCCCGAGGGTGGTGGAACTAAACACTATCAATATTTAAGCAGCATCAGAATGATAGCTTAAAATGCCAAAGTATAGTAGGCTATGGACCAAGTGCAGGTTTAAAATGGACTTAGTGTAGCTTGGTGTTTGTTGGTCAGAACAGACATAGTGGGTCAAAGGGCCCATTTCTGTGCTGTATGATGCTCTCTCTCTAAAAAGAAATGTCTAGATGTACAATACAGTGCATCGATTGGGTTGTAGAGGGAGAAAAACCAAAGGCTTTTTAAAAAGGATACTGGATGCCATAACAGAAATTTTGGAACGGTACAGCATGGATCTTTACTATTCAAAATGGCCTAATCTTTCTTTTGACTTTTATGTTTATGCTCAAATCTCCTCTTCTCCTAACAATCCTTAGAACCTGAGCCATTGTTCTTCACAATGCAAGCCTATGGAGTTTCCAACATTGAAAAGAGACAGCTTTTAATATAGATTGGGCAAATAATGTATAGTTTGCAGCAGCAACATTTTATTGTGTTTCTAACAAGGTAATATGCCAGCAGCAGATATATATAAATACTTGACAACTTAAACCCCAGGAAGCAGTATTAAAATTAGCTTAAGTAGTGAAATTTTCAGGATTCCTGACTGATACCACCATGCTCCCATCCCTACCTCGGTGTAGTTCTGTTTGAGAACACATTTTGCTGCATGCTTAAAATACTGAAAACTTGAATCAAAGCACGTTACCTGAAATACATTTTTTAAGTTTTACATCTGAATGTTTAAAGCACAAGTAACCAACCTATAGCTAATATTCACGTTAATGTTAACCCTAACCAGCTACCTATGAATAAAAGGAGAAATCAACAACTTTGCCCTACAAGCCTGCTCTGCCAGTTAATAAGATCAAGGTTGATCTGATTGCAACTTCAAATCCACGTTCTTGCTGAACTATAATCTTTCACCCCTTTGCTTGTCAATAATCGACCCACACTTCTTTATTTTTAGAAAGAGTTCCAAAGATTTGCGGCCCTCAAAAAATGAATTGCCTTATCTCCATTTTAAAAGTGCGACCACCTGCATTTAAACTGTTACCCTTCCATAAATGGAAGCATCCATTCATCCTGTTAAGAAAGGCCACTCAGATTCTTATGCTTCAATCAAATCACCTCATCTAAACTTCAGTAGAAACAAGCCTAGCCTGACCAACCTTTACCCATAAGACAAGCCACTTATTCAAGTTATCAAACAATTAAAACTTCTTTGAATTTGCTCTTACACATTTACATCCTTCCTTAAATAGGGAAATCAAAACAGTACACAGCACTACAGGTAACATTTATTGTTTTATACTGAATTTATTGTTGTAATTTAAAGCAGTGTTATTTTTCTTCAAGACAGATGCATGGTAGTCACAAATATACAATCCTTATTTACTTTATATTCTTAGTTCGGTGTTTTTGATCGTTCTGCACCCTCATTTACTTTGCCTTTGTATTTCGACTCATGATTAAATTGGACAGAAAGTAACAGCATGTAACAATATATTTATCAAGCATCTTTAATGTAATGAAATATCTGAAGGCACTTCACTCCCTGGAGCATTATACAACACAGCATGACACAAAGCCACATAAGGAAACACGCTAGGTCACTTGACCAATAACTTGGTCAAAGAGGGAGGCTTTAATAAGCACCTTAAAAGGAGGAAGACAAAGTGAAGAGGCATAGAAATGTAAGCAAGGAATTCCAGAGCTTGGGGCCCAGGCAACTTAAGGCATTTCCACTAATTATGGAAGGCAAAAAATGCCAGAAATAGAGCAAAAATATCTTGGAGGGTTGTGCGCTGAAAGAGCTTGCAGACTTAGAGAGTGACAAGGCCAACTTAAAAATGAGTCCGAGAATTTTAAAGTCCGAGCATTGCTTGACAGAGAACCAATTTAGGTCAGTGAGTACAAGGATGAGGGGTAACGATGCTGACCACACATGGAGATACGTAGAGCAGAATTTTGAATAAACCCAAACCTTGAGGTAAAATGTGGGTGGACAGTCAATTGTGTGTTAGAAAGGCTGAATCTACAGATAAGTAAGGTGCGAATGAGAGTTTCAGCAGTTCAGCTGAGACAGAGTGAAGTCAGGTAACATCTTGAAAATCGATTTAAATGATGCCATCAATACAGTCAGAAACTCACTTTGGGGTCCAATCTGTCACCATAGCTGAAAATAAATTGGTTTACTAAAGGTACGAATGGAGTTAGCAGCTCGGGAACAAAATTTGGAGCCGGAACTAAAAACAATGACTTGTCTTCCTAATACAGTATAGAAGGGATAAAAAAAATTTAAAAACTCATAAAAATGTAAAGATGGATTTTCTTTGTCCACTATTCTGTTAAAATACTGTACACTGTAACAGATGCGGGGTGGGGGGGTGGTGAAGCAAATGTCAGGCCTATCACTGCAATTTTTAAAAATTCATTCATGGAACGTGGACATCGCTAGCCAGACCAGTATTTACTGTGCTAATTGTCCACAGGGCAGTTGAGAGACAACTACATTGCTATGCATCTGTCACACGTAAGTCAGACTAGGTAAGGATGGCAGATTTCCTTCTCTGAAAGACGTAAGTGAACCACTCGGGTTTTTCTGACAATCAGCAACAGTTTCCCTACATCCCCGTCAGCTGAGAAGGCTGTGCAACCACAAAAAAAAGTACTGTACAGAAAACAATACAATGAATGCGTGATGGTAATCTGAGACAATAGCAAAAACCCTGTTAACGAACATTGTAAAGGGAGATGCTAGCTAATAAGCCCGCTTTCCTCTCAAACAGGCCTGACATAATGCTCAATTTAAGTTTTTACTCATGTCTACGGACTTAAAAACAGACTCTGTTAAAAGGTGCTCATTTTAAACTGACTAAAAGATGTGACAAGCTTCCATCATATTAGCACCTATCAACATTTTCATAGAAGACAAAACAAATTGCTGGAGAAGAGGAGGGTTCTAATGGAACATTACTAGATTCAAACTGCGAACTGTTTCGCACTCTACAGATGCTGCCAGGTCTGCTGACTTTCTGTAGCAGTTTGTTTTTGTTTCAGATCTCCAGCCTCCATGGTTCTTTAAGGAAATAAAAAACAATGAGCCTTTACCCAGGAAGGAGGGGAGATGGAAATCTGGACTTGAGGGTCAATAAACGTGGACTGGTGTCAGCAATATTAAACATGAGCTTGCACCCTTTTTTTTTCCATTTTACTCCCAGTTGGTGATGTCACATGTTTTAGAAGTCATAAGCACTAAATGAGTTTTTTCTCCTCACCTACTTAAAATGGTCAAAAGATGCTGTTACCCAACCATGACTGATTAACTAAATCATCAATCTGAACCTTGGACATTACTCTATACTCTCCAAAAGTTTATATAATATGCTGTAAATTCACTGACTTAAAAAGGTAAAAATCTAACACAGTCTAAATGGAAATCTTACCCAATGGTGCTCATGAATGAAATACAGATTAAAGCTAAGAAGAGTTAGAATTTTCGCAGCATCACGGATTATTTACTTATGGAATCACAGGAACTTTGTGAACGTGAAAGACCACTGAGATTCATAGAGAGAACTTGAGAGTTTGATCTATAGATTTAATCAGGCAAAATGTAAAATATAACATTTCAATGTAAACACAAAACTGTTGATTACATTCTGCACCACAAGTCAGGAAAACACATATTCAATATGCTATAATCTGATAAATGGTAATGTTTATGACATACAAAATCCAATCTTCTGGTTATGATAAAAGCTTTCAGTGCTTTGGTACAGTCACTGTCAAGAATAAACATTAATCTGTAAATCTCAAATTCTGACCTGAACAAAACTCGTCACATTTAATTCTTGCTGCATTACAGCCCCATAAGATACCAGGGGGTAAAAGAACTACCCAGTGCAAGACAGTACATGGCATCACAAACCCTCAAGCAGCCAGATTCAAATTAAAACCTTTGCTTAATTAGCTGATAACAAGCCAGGACATAAGCTTAACTCATAGATCTGACTTCAACAACCCAAGTTTTGTGTGTGGAAGCTGGAAATAAGCTATACAGGTCCACTGGCAATCCCTACTCTTCGAAACTTTCTGCAAAAAAGATATTCAGACAGGCATTAGTGAAAAATGGTACTGGCTGAGTTTTGATGATACCTACATAGAACAGTTAGATGTGTCAAGAATGTTCACAGAAGCCAAGTAAGACAAGCAGTATTGTCTTAATGAAACATATATGTGTCATGTTACTCATCATTATTACACCAAGCTGGCATTATGATATATTAGCACAAGTTTACCAATGGACTATTTCTAACCAAAATTGATCAAATTATCCTTCAAATTATTGCTTATAATATTTTAAACAACACTTTAAAGTTTTATTTTATAAACATCTTATTTGCGCTGCAAAGTATTTTGTTTAAAATAGACAAAACTCAAAACCGTATGTCTTCAACATTTCTACAGAAAACAGAGGACGCGGTATTTTTCAGGAGAAAGGGGCGTGGTCCCAATAAAGTCGGAGTCATACAGCAGTCCTTCAAAAAACGTTTTAAGAAAACTAAGATTAATCCCAGCATTCAGAGTCGACTCACATATATGAAATATGGTTAACAGAATGGCAACATTAATAGTCACCACTAAATGCACCACTACATCGAATTACTAGGCAACCTCCAGTTTATGCCTTATCAACTTGTAAACACATACCACGTGTTAATATAAATTCCGCATTTATCCATGATAAAAAACAAATAACACGGTAAAAAGCTCCGTATTACTTGGCTATACTTTTAAACTACAGAAGGTGCGAGTTTTCCCCACTGTTAACCTCTTTAGACATCAGATTGCAGAGACAAACAAAACGCTGTCATGTGTTTACATAAAAGGTTGGTGGGCGGGTTCGCTGGTCCATCCAACGCCACGAAAACTGCCACAAGGTAATGCTCCTTGCCTGTAACTCCACGATCTGGTCAGAAACGTTGCCAATGAGAATGCTCTAAGGCTTTCCAACAACGGCCCTGATCTCCCTCACATCATATTGTTTTCGGGCCTTGTTTCTAACATGGCGACCAACACAAACAAACCTGCCGTGGGCGGAGCCTAAACAACTTGAGAGCTGGCGCGGCTACGCCTACCAACTGCTTCCATTGGTTCGACCGCTACTGTTGACCGAGAACCCGTCCCAGGGGCCAATTGTTATTGGCTCCCTGCGTGTCAATCAGATGACATATCGACATACCAGCATCCTCCCTCTTCATCCTCCATCACTCTCATTTTCTCTGTCCCCCTCCCTCTGGTGACTTTTCAACCTGCTCGCCGTAAAGGAAAAACAAGCACTTGCTTCAACAACAAACAAACATCTTCGATAAAAATTTCACCGCACCCACCTGCAGAAAGGCTTGTTGTCAGGTTGAACAGACTCCGGAGGCTGTGAGGAGATGGCAACTGGAGGTGCGCGTTTGTTTTGTTGATATCTTCCTGACGGGTTCCTGGAAAGCGCGTGACTGCGCTGACGGGACCAGGGGGCGGAGTCACAGCGCAGCCAATGACAGCGCCGCTTGCCCGCCAGCCGACAGAGTGCATCCCCCACCCCCAATAACAGCAGCCGCCGCCTCCGCCACGGGTTCGATACTGGTCTCGCTGCAGAGTGGAGCTAGTAGTTGGCTTCGGAAGCATTCATATGATTGATGCATTTGAAAAACTAAATTAGTTGTACAATGTATCGCATGTACTCACACGAAACGACTTGTCCCCTTATCAGGAACAAAAACAAAATTGCTGGAAAAGCTCAGCAGGTCTGGCAGC